CCTTACTAAATCAAGCACAATAAAGAAACGTTAGAGCCTACTTAATAACAATTGTACAATGTTAACTTAATGGGCTATATAGGTTCATCTTGGTTTCATACTGTTTTCTCTGCCTTTGTGAAAAGTCTTTCAGTCTTTTTTCCTCAACTGTTAAAAGCTGGGCCTTTAATTTTGTCAAATAACACATTTGTTGTTGTTAAGTGCCTGTGAGTTGGGACCAACTCACAATGAGCTGTCTCAACTTCTTTGCTCAAAATGTTGGCTGGAATGAACATATTTCAATTAGACTGCTGTTGTTGTTACATGCTGTGGAGTCGACCCTATATAGGGTTTCTGAGGCTGTAAATCTTTACGGGAGCAGAAAGCCTCATGTTTTCCCCACGAACAGCTGGTTGTTTCGAACTGCTGGTAGTTTTGAACTGCTGCCCCTGAGGCTGGCAAACCGATTCGTAACCACTATGCTACCAGAGCTCCATAATTAGACTGCTAGTCAGCATTAATTATTTTACTTGCTGGAAAAGTTAGCTTACAGAGTTTGCATGTTTACATTTATAATAACTTAGTTTACAAATTGGCAGAGAAGAAAGGTCTCCCCTTTGTTTAACGTGACGATCTCCCCAAGTTATAGCATCCTCTATTGTAGTTAAGTACTATTCCTAGAAAACCTAACTCTATAAACCTGGGGTGGAACTTAACTTAGTTTAACTTAGGTTCGTTCTTCTTGGATCAACTATCAACACTCATGGAAGCAGCAGTCAAGAAACCAAACAACATATTGCATTAGGCAAATCTGCTGCACAAGACCTTTTTAAAGTGTTGAAGAGCAAAGATGTCAGCTTGAAGACTAAGGTGTGCCTGACCCAAGTCATGGTATTTTCAATAACCTCATATGCATGTGAAAGCTGGACAGTTAATAAGGAAGTCTGTAGAAGAATTGATGCTTTTGAGTTATGGTTTTGGAGAATACTGAAAGTGCCATGGGCTGCCAAAAGAACCAACAGATCTGTGTTGGAAGAAGTGCAGCCAGAGCGCTACTTGGAGGCCAGGATGACACTACTTCGTCTCTCATACTTTGGACATATTGTCAGGAGGGGCCAGTCGCTGGAGAAGGATAGGATGTTGGTAGGGTAGAAGGTCAGAGAAAAAGAGGAAGACCTCCAGCGAAATGGATTGGCAAAGTGGCAGCATCAATGGGCTCAAGCGTGGCAATGATACTGAGGTCGGGCAGTGTTTCATTCTGCATAAGGTCGCTATGAATCGATAGTGACTCGATGGCACCTAACAACAACAAATGTATACACTTATTTGCATGTTTCAGGCATAGAAACAGTTGTCAGAATATATATATAGTTTAGGGTGTGAAATTTTCACAATTGGATAAAAAGTGGTAATCCATATTATTAGAAGCCCTTTTAAAGTCCTCAGGACCAATGGCCAAATCCTGAAATGAGCCACATTGAACTTGACTGATAAAATTATGTATTTTCACCCATATCCGTATAAAGAATGCAGGGATACCTTTAGCATTTAAGGCTCAGAACACAGACAAATAAAAAGAACATTTAAAAAGACTCCCCCATGAGCAGTTCATAATAACCAGTATCTAAGGAGTCCTGGTATGGGGCTGTGGGTTAATGCACCAGACTGCAAGTCCATTTGAACTGCAAGGTTGGCAGTTCAAGCTCACCAGCAGCTCCTCGGAAAACCTATAAAGGGTCACTGATTCGGAACGAATTGATGGCACTTAAGTATACCATCATCATCAAACTTTTAAAGATCGGGTTGGCACTGTAGGCTAAACAATAAACTGTTAACTGAAAAATCGGTGGTTCAAACCCACCAGCTACTCCTTGGAAATCTTAAATAAGGTCACTATGACTCATAACCAACATGACGACACTTAACATCAGGGGTTAATGAAAAAGAACACTTCCTTCAGAAACCAAAGGAAAAGCAACCTTTACTTACTAATATACCAGAATTTGGTCAAATGCCTCTTAAAGAATGGGTCTCATTAAAAATTTAAAACAACAAACAATAAAAACCTGGAGAACATATAGGGAGTGAACTATCCCTAGAGTCAAGCTGAATTCTTATCTGAAGAATTTCAGAATTAATTTCACTGTTTTAAAGACAGGAGAAAGCTGATACAAACTAATCTTTGTGAAGCTGAAATATATTACATGAATGATGAAAAATAATCTTAGAATGCTCAAAGAATCTGATGGCCCAAGTCTGAAGGTATACAGAAAGAGCTGGTTTGCATGTTAAAATCAAGAACGACTTCATAAGAGAAAGTGGTTTTCACACTGACAAAATTTTTGACACTAGACATGAGAAACCAAGCCACAAAAACAAACCTTGTTACAGATCAATATCTGTGAAGAAAAGAGGCCATCAGGATAATAAGAGACCATAACTTGCTAACGTTATCTGAATACATTAAATCCTTAGGGAAACCCTGTATTTTACTTTAGGAAAGAAGAAGCTAATCTGCCCAAAGTCACACCACCTGAAAGTCGAGAGGATTAGCACCCAGGTCCACCTGACTTTAAAAGAATGCTTTTACGGACTGTGTTATACTGCCTCCTACAGGTGAAAAAAGATTGCAGGTCAGGAACAACTGACAATTCTGAACATAAGGAACAAGACAGTTTGATGAACCTGTAACTAATAAAACGTATGCAGGTGATACCTGGAATCAAAAATAGAAAAACAGCCTCCCAACTACTTAAGATTAGTTAGAATAAAACTACAAAGATTATTACCTACAGAATTAAGATCCGTTCAGAAATATCCAAAATCCAATCAAGGGGGCCAATACATATAGCTTTAGACTGACTGCCCAGACTGTATTGTCCTCAGCCTAACGAAAGAATGTTCTTAAGAGATAAGGCCTGCTGCAGATTATAGCTATGAAAGAGTTCAAGGATGAAAATGGGAGGGAAGGAATGTATCAGAGAATAAGATTAGAAGAGATAAATTGGGAAGGTTTTACCTAGCAATGAATGCCCTACTACTCTAGATTTTCGCCTAGGGGAGAATACACCATAAGGCTACCTGGTTCCTCTGATTTCAGATTCTTTAAGTCCTAGTGGTGCAGTAGCTGACTGCTTGGCTCCCAATCAAAATGTCAGCAGTTTGAACCTGACGACCCAGACTACAAAGATGTGGCAGTATGCTATGTAAAGATTTACAAGCTTGGATACCTTCAGGGGCAGTTCTAGTCTGTAGTCTGAGATTGCTATGAATCAGAATCACTGAATAGCAACAACTGGTTTAAGAAGCTATCTAATTATAATTTGCATTCCCATTTAGATTTGCCTACTGGGAGAGACTAAATTGATAAAGAGGTGTGACTGTTGGTTCTCACATTCATTCTAATTGTTTTTAAAATTTTTCTAAATAAACAACTTACCATTATTTGAAATGATCAGTTTTGATTTCATTAAGCACCTCCCCTGAATTACTGTCTAAATAATTTCAGAAATAAGTTATTAAAAACGAAGATTCCTCTTCCGTAAAATGGGTACAAAATCAAGTACCTTGCAGATTAAGGTAAATGCGTACTTGACAAATGAAAGAAAGGCAATGTTAGGTCTATATCATTCCACTGCCCAAGTTCACAAGCTAGTAACTGCATTAAATCAAGACCTCAATCCAGATTTACTGTACATTACACAACATTCCTTGTAGGCTCTAGTCACTAAGGACTTTAAGACTTTGGACAATTAACTTAACCTTTCTGGGACTTATGTCTGTACATGACCTTCCTTCTACGACTTAGGCAACTAAAATTTGTGCAAAAATGATTACAGATCCACTGGGAAAGGCACTGTTTGTTAAGTGCCATATAGTCGGTTTATGTTTTAAAGTTAAAGCCTCAACTTTTGAGATACTTCTATGCTAAAAAGCCACTGGAAGGTGCCTAATTAACTCCACTACAAGTTTGCTGAATAGCAAGATCACGAAATAAATCGAACACATAGAAGGACAAATATCTGAGAGTTGACTTTATAAAATCAATGAATGACTACCAATAGAAAAAAGGAATTCCACTCACCACCTGGAGTTATCTAAAAGGACAGATTCAAGATCTAAGGGGCTTTGAAAGGGCTCTCAAAATCGTAAGGTATTTATCTTTCGACTAAAAATGTTAAAGAGTAAAAAGCAGCTTACAGACTTGCAACGAAGGACTTAGGACTTCAAGTTAATTTGGTAAATATATTCTCTAGCAGTTAAATGCAACTCCTTGATACAAACAACTTAATGCTAAGCACTTAATGTAAACTGCCTTTACAAGCAGCTTTTTGGCAATCAGAAAAAGCTCAACACAGAAATAGGGGTAGAAGCAAACAAGTTAAATGAAAACTACAATAATTTACCAAAGAGCAAGTCTTTTTCCTTGTCCCAAAAAGTTGAACAGAAATAAACTTAGTACAATGATTGACAAGAAAGTACTGTTTTCCAAAAGACCTTCCTTCCTCTACAACTAGATACTTTTCTTACATTTCTCACGCTCCAGATCTGATATAAAGAATTTTCTGGTTGGATGTCTTCCTGAAAAGGGGTAGTGTCAAAGGTTTAGGAGAAGGTTTAATTCATTCTTTCAAGAGTTGCCAGATTTGACTTTCGCCAGCACACAATCTTAAAGGAGTAGGAAAATAAAGCAGCTTCTCTAAAAATCACAGCTAATAAAATGCTTCACCACAAAGTCAACCTTTTAGTTAAAAATGTCAAGCTCGCTTTCTTAAACTTTCGGTTCAGTCTCATGAGACAGCCAAGAAATCTGTAGCAAAAAAAAAAAAAAAAAAAAAACCCAAAAGACGCAACAAACTGCGCTACGATAAGAAAACTGTCATCTCCCCCACCAACACCGCACCAAACTTTTGGTAACTTGTTCCCAGATTTTCCAATCCCCCACGCACAGGAAAACGGGGTTTTCACTGATAAGCCTTTCCCGGAGAAATCTGCAAAAGAAAGAGCAGGATATACTGTACCTGGGCGTTGGCTTTGTGCTCGGTAGAGACGTGGTGCCTCAGGAGAAGGGTTTTCTTGTAGTTGCGGGTCCCTCGCGAAAGCTCGTCGTGCCCCACTTGGCTAAGGTCCCCGCTTCCCCCGTCCTCAGGGGTCTTTTGGCACCAGCCGCAAGACATAAGGCCAGTATCCTTGGAATACCGCAGCCAGGGAAAATCTTTGAGCCAGGAGCTCTGGAAAGAGCAATGGAGCTTTTGCATGAGGGACTTGGGTCGCGCCAGCGGGAAGTGCTGGACAGTCTCGCCTTCGCCAGCTCCCACGCCGCTGCCCTCCACTTCGTCCCCGCCGTCGCCGCCCGACCGCCTGCTGCTGCCGCAGCTGCCGCCTTCCGCCCCGCTGCCGTCGCCCAGGCTCGCCCCCTCCTCCTCGTCCTCGGTGCTGTCGCTCAGGGACGCGCCGTCCTGCATCAACTCCTTCCCCTCCAGCGCGTCCAGCTCCAGATCCACAGCCGCCGGCCCTCGCCCATTGAAATGCCTCAGGGGCCACGCCGAGGTCTCGGGGCGGCCGCGACTACTGCCATTGTTGCCCAGACCCCCGCCACCTCCTCGGAAGGCCAGAGTCCGACGGTTCCTTTCCGCTAGCAGGGGGCCCCCCGCGCCACCGCCGCCCAGCGAGGTGGGGCCCCCCGCCTCTTGGGGGAGCAACAACTCCTTGGTTTCCTCGGCGGCGGCGGCCCCGGCGGCGGCCTCCAGGTCTTGGGGCTCCAGGCCCTCCAATTCCACTTCCTCGTCGGCCCCCCGCCCATTGAGCTGCTGAGGCGCTGGCGCCTGGGGCTGTCGCGGCAGGGGCTGGTGAGGCCAAGCCGAGGCCTCTCCGCCAGCGTTATTGTTCGTGGAGCCGCCGCCGCTGGCGGTGACCAACCCGCCTCCTCGGAACGCCAGCGTCCTGCGGTTCATTTCACTGAACGACATGGCGCGCGCCGCCGCCCGGTGTCCCGGCTCGC